TGGGTTGAAGGGAACTTTGACCTATTCTTCAGAAGCATTGCTGAAGGATTGGGGACTTGAGTTTTGAAACAAAACCACTTAGAGAAAAGTCAGAAATGGTATTTCAGTTCTGGCTGAGCAAGATCTCGTTATTCTCTTGAAGCAGAACTTTCTAGAGCAGTGTACTCTTCTAGGGCCATATCCATGGAATGTCCTAGGAGATAGTCCAAGGTGGATATAAAGGGAAATTCACATACATGAAGGGCAATGTCATGAGACAAGGAGCCAAGAGGCAGGACAGGGAGTTTCCAGGGAGGAAAACATGCCAGAAGGTGGCCACAGTTGGAAAAAGGCCGGGAAACACTGCTCTAAATAGTACGCAGATAATTTCTTTTCCTATAAACTCCTTTTTTTCATGCATTACTGATTCCTGGATTCTAACAACGACAGGTAGCAAGTAACAATGAATATACTAGCTGCTATATTTAAATTATGTTCGGAAGAAAACAGGATGGGGATAGGAAAGTCTGATGAATTTTCTCCTAGGGACTCTAGACCAAGCTTAGATGTTGAAAAAGATGAGTTCTGGGGACCAGTCTATAACAATTTCCCTCCAAAAACCCATGGATTCTGTTCCCTTGAAGCTCTCAGAATCTCACCCATTTGAGTCCCCTTCCTGTCCCTTCATTATTCCTCCTGAGAGAGATCATTTTCTTTCTTTTTTTTAATTTTTTTTTTTGGTTACTCACGCAACAATGCTTAGGGCTTACTCCTGAGCTCAGGAACCTCTCCTGGTGGGTTTGGGAGACCCTAAGGGGTGCTAAGGATGGAACTCATGTTGGCTGCATGCAGGGCAAGTGCTCTACCCGCTGTCCTATGGCTCGGTCCTCAGAGAGGTGCATTTCTTGAGTCACCCTGAACCAATGAAAAATCAGATCAAGCAATCAGATTTCTATAGAAAGGGGTTCAAGCTTGTACATTCCTCACATAAAAGTTCCTGACAGTGGACATCCCCTCATTACCTCTTGAAGGTCAGAACGGGTCTCATTAATTTCCCTTAGAAACGCATCTGAACACAACCTGCCGTCCCCCCGTGCCCTCCTCCGGCTTCCATTTTTCTCATATAACATTACAACTGGCTTTGTTGTTCATCTTTCTCTTTAAATGACACTTTCCCAGTCTTTTGTTCACCACCAAATCTTCTCCAGTGGATTTGACATTAAAACTCAGGTTCTTCCTTCTCGAGAAAAGTGGCTGACTATTAGCAGTTTAGCTAAAACAGCTTGGCATTTTGAACTATTCTATTTTATATTTTTACATTGCAGTTCCTTAGAAGAAGAAAACCATATGCTGGCTCCCAAAAGAATGGTCCCCTTTAGAACTCCGTTCAGTTTTGAATTAAAACGTGCAAAAGAAAGTAGCTCCTTCAAAACGCATTAAGCTGTGCTGTACAGGAGAAATGAAAACTCTGAAAGTTGGGCAAGCCATGAAATTTGTAATTTATAGAGAAGCTAAAATTAGAACTGGCAAGCGAATCTACACAAACTTAAATACCATCAAGAACTCTTGCTGGGCCGGCCTCAGTCCCTGTACCTGGCTGGGAGTCAGGCTGAACCTGGACTCTGTTTTCCTGTCGCCAGCTACCTCCCCTGACTGACAACTCCTGTTCCCTTTGAGTTTAACCTGCATAGGAAACCAGGGACACTGCAGCCCTGGGCCCCCAGTCTGGGGTTCAGTGAACAGCTCCACTATCCATAGAACAACTTATGGTTCAGTTTGTAAACAGGCAGCAGATAAAAACAATTCTTAAAATTAAAAACTCAGGGTTGGAGCAATAGTACAGAGTGTTAGGGCACTTGCCTTGCATGTGGCTGACCCTGGTTTGATCCCCAACAAACGCCATATGCTTGCCCCTACCCAGACTACCAGAAGCGATCCCTGATCAAAGGGCCAGCAGTCAGCCCTGAGCATCACCAGGTGTGGCCCGTAGACCCCAAACAAGTAAATAAATTAAAAATCAGGGTTGTAGGGCAAAAGAGTGAAACTCTGTCGGACATTTTTGTGAGTGGCCCATGATGTCTCATTCCTTCGAGCAGATATGACAGTCCTGAGAGGGGAAGAGAGAGGCTGGACTAGCACGGCACCCTCAGTCTGAGATAGACTCACCTGCAGGAAGGAGGTATGGGGTGTGGAGGGAAAGGGAAGGGCAGAGTCTGGTCAGGACATCATCCAGGCAGACTCCTGGAACTGGAGGGATAGTGCATTGGGTACAACAGTTTCCTGGCATGTGGCAGACCCGGGCTCAATCTCCAGCATCCTGCACGGTTCCCCAAGCTCCACCAGGAATGACCCCTGAGTGTAGAACCAGGAGTATGCCGTGGGCACCATTCGGTATGGGCAAAAAAAAAAAAAAATCAAACCAAACCAAGCCAGATTCCTGCCAGCAAATGCACTGAACTTTTGTACTGTTCCAACAACAATGCTGTGGGCTACAATTTCATCTTGGATCTATGACTTGCCTAAGTTGGATTGTTTGGAAGGAAAACACTACAATGTCTGATTCCTGCAGGCACATTTTCAAGGGTGATGATGCAAGGTGCTCTGTGAAGGGTGGCATAGGAGCTGCCCCTAACTGTATGGAAGGCAGGTCTTGAAAGCAATGGAACTGCAGGTTGGGATTGTAGAAGCAACGAGATCATGAATACTCGGATCTCCGGAATGGGACATGAGGCCTGATGACCCCCTGTCCAGCATGATGGCACACAAGGAAGGAAATGAACACTGGCCACACAGGAGGAGACCCCTGGAGAAACAGACTGGCAAACAAACTGATCGGAGCCCTCGAGTCCTTAAGACGTGATCAGCATATGCCGTGTGGTGGCTGAACTGATGGACACACCAAGTCAGCAGAAGAACATTTCCTTAGAAATCATGATGACCCCCAGAGCAAGCCTCCTCTGCCTGGAAATGGTCAAAGGTCTGTGGCTGAGGCACCACCACATGACCAGCCTGGTCCTGCAAAAAACACACCCCACCCCCCCAAAAAGCTGAACTTTCAGGTCTGGTGGTGAGATGGGTTATATTCTAGAATCCCAAACTGAACCTAGTCTCCATTGCATCCACCAGAGTGTGTGAAGGAAAAGAAGGAAAGTTTCTAGAAACACCTAGCTCACTCATCCACACAGAGCTAAGGGGACAAGAGAAAGCACCTCTGGAAGCCCCAGAAGCAGCAGAGGTGAGCACTCTGGCTCCCCATCTTCTTTCAGCACAAGAAACAAGCAGCAACCTTGGCCCCTCCCCACCTGCCCCTGCATCTTCCTCTAATTCCTCATGGAATATTCTAGAAAGTCACTCCTCGTAGTTGTTTCTGCCCAACTTCCTCTGGTGCTCTCCCAGATGGGCGCTTTAGAGCATAGTGGCCTCTGCTCATGATCAAATGGCAAGAGCTCTGTCCTCGTCTGACCCACTGCACAGGGACAGTGGCCACTCCTGCGTCTGATGCCTCCAGCAGGCCAGAAAATGCACCTCAGTCAGCGCTGGGCTGACCCATCTCCGCTAGCTGTCACGCCTGGCTTTGCTATCACAGGACTCGGTTCCTCCATTGTACAAGCTGATCATCTCCTCCTTCCTGCTTCCTGTTTCTATTCCTCATCAGAAAGTGTGTCCAGGGGAGGTAGCCATAGTACAGCGGGGAGGGCACTCACCTTGCACACACCTGACCCAGATTCAATCCCCGGCACCACATACAATTCCCTGAGCTCTGCCAGGAGTGACCCCTGTGTGCAGAGCCAAGAATAAGTGCTAATCCCTGCTGGGTGTGACATTCCTCACCCCGTCCCCCAAAAATGTGTCTAGGAGAGCAGAAATGTGCCATGCCCTCAGCCTCACACTTGCGGGTGTTGAGATTGACCCCAATGGGTACTAGTTAACTCCCTGGAGCAAACTGAGATTCTCCCAGCAGTAGCACTGGCAGAGTCTTGTGAGAAAGTGGCGGTCAACACATGGGCCCCAATAACGCCTTCTACCCAATACCAATGTGCCGAAGTCATCCAAACCAGCACTCAACCAAACATCACTCAAGGACCTGCTTTCCTCATTTAGGGTCATTCAGAAGGAAAGTTTCCCAGAGCATCTGGAGGACACTTCCAGTTTACTTCAGGCAGAGTCCGATGCAGAAGAGAATGGGGTGGCAGGGGGGAGGGGGGCGTGACACTTTCAGGCCAGGCAAAACTGGACAAGGAACAGGCCTGGAACATGACCCCAGCTGGCTGTGCCATACAATGCTGTGAAAACTGCCCACCTGGGGTGGTTACTACAGAAACAAAATGGCCTTACTACCACTGGTAACTGATGAGGTTAGCAGCAAACATTTCTGTCAAACATGCCATCAGCTCCGCCTTTAGGAGAAATCCGTATGGCATCTGCAGCAGAGACAGAGAATTGGAGTTGGAGCTGAACCGCTTGGGACTCACCAAAGAAGCCAAGGGGAATATCTGAGCTCCAGTTTCCTCTTAAAATCTGCCACTGTTGGGGCCAGAGTGATAGTACAGCGGGGAGGGTGTTTGCCTTGCATGCGGCCAACCCGGGTTCTATTCCAAGCATCCTAGATGGTCCCCCGAGCACTGCCAGTAGTAATTCCTTAGTGCATGAGCCAGGGGCAACCCCTGTGCATCGCTGGGTGTGACCCAAAAAGGTAAAACCAAACTTTTTTCCCACTGTCATAAGTGATACAAATGGGAGGAGCCATGCCCAGTGGGCTTATTTTGAGTCATTGAGGATCAAGAGTTCTAAAAACAGACAGACATATCTTTAAGAAAATGGACTGTCCTTCCACAGAGAATCTTGCTTGATGTACAGGAGAAAGAGTGAAACGATCTTCCAAAGGAAGCAGGGAGTAGCCAGAGCTAAGGGAGATTTGTGGTCGTCGCTCTGGAGGGTGGAGAGGCCCAGATGTGGACCCTTGGACGGCAGGTTTGTGAGGGAAACCCCTGAGGAACTGGGGGGTGGGGGGAGTTACTTACCTGTGGCTAAGTAGATGATGTGGACCAGTGCGTCCCGGCTCTGCACGACGTCCACGGCCACGTGGGAGAAGCGGCTGTTGTCCTCCAGGAAGGCGGGGGTGGGGCTCACCGGCTGCACCACCTCGTGCATCAGGATGAACCTCTGTGCATCCTGCAGGTTCCTCTCTGTCAGGTTCACGTAGAGGCCCTGGTCCACTGTGCCGCACTGCAGGGAGGACAGGCCATGAGTGGAAGAGCACGGGCAGCCCCAGGGGTGACGTGGACCGCAACCGAGCCGAGGCACAAGCCACATGTTTAAACATGCATCCCTCCCTTCTCTCCCTACCCCCCCCCCCCACCAATGCACAGTGGAACCCAACATATTTGGGGAGCTTCTCCATGGCACTGTGAGGAGATTCATCGGATGTGTGAAAGGCATCGAGGAGGTAACACTGCTGAGTCCTATCTGAACCGTGAAAGCATCCATATTCCCTGGCACCTCTGAGACCCTCAGAAGCTGTGGCTGAGTGAGCACATTCAGCTGTGAATCTGGTGCCCATGCTGCAAAGGCAACCATCAATGATACCAGCAAGATTTATTCGTTTGCTTGTTGACCCATAAGCAATGGAGGGTTTCACGGCAGGAGTATTATGACTCTTTTATCTGTAAATTAGACACTAGTATCCTAATAACAGAACTACTACGCTGGTCTCATGGCTTTGAGCTCAAATTCCAAACTATAAATAAATGAAAAAGAATTATGTTCAGAGTCTAGGAATCTGGGGATTTAGAGAACAAATTTGCATGAGAAAAAGATAAGGGATGAGAGGGCTCACTAGGAAGAGTAGAGCTCATTTAATGAATTAGAGTTTTTTATTTATTAAAATCTATTTCTTAAAATTTTAATTTATATTTTGTTTTTGGGGGGACCTCGGAGAGCCTGGCAAGCTACCGAGAGTATCCCGCCCCATGGCAGAGCCTGGCAAGTTCCCCATGGCATATTCGATATGCCAAAAATAGTAACAAGTCTCACAATGGAGACATTACTGGTGCCCACTCGAGCAAATCGATGAACAACGGGAGGAGAGTGCTACAGTGTTTGGGGGGGGGGGGCATGCCCAGTAATGTTCAGGGGTTTCTCCTGGCCCTGCACTCAGGAATCATTCTTCATGGTTCTCTGGGGACTATAAGGGAAGCCGGGGGGGTTGAACCCGGGTTGGTTGTGTGCAAGACAAGTACCCGACCCACTGTACTATCACTCTGGCCACAAAGGGAGAAAGAGTAAGGGAAGAAAAGCTGTGAAAGCAGATAGGAAAAGCATTTTCAGAGACAGGAAATATCAAGCGGACGAATCTGGGTTAGTGGGGGGAGTGGGGTGGTGGAGCGGAGAATCAGGCATGGAAAATGATGAGAATTAAATTCCCAGCCGTGGGGTGTTCTGTAGATGGTTCGTGGCAAGGATACGATAAAAAGAGGCCGTGAAAGAGAGCAGAGCTTTCCCGGGGCTGAGCGCAGAATCAGACAGACCACTGTCACCTTCACTAGCTCTCTCTTGCTTTTATAAATTTTAAAATCCTGGGTCCCAGAAGGTCTGATCCAGGGCAGTACTTGATAGGAGTAGGTTTGATGGAAATGAATTTTTCCCTGTCCACGCCACCCAAAATCACCCTTTCGAACATGTCCTTTCTAATACTGGATTTTACAGCAGGTGAGAGGGGCAAACGCGTCAACTGGAAACTGCTTTTTTAAAAATAGATGATGGTTTCTGTAGCACTTGATAAAATGCCCTCCGTGCCATAAAACGATAAGCTAATTGTAGAATTAGAGGAGTCTGGAGTGAAATAGATTTCGAGTCTGACCCGAGGCTGGTTTAATGTCACACCTGCAGGGGTCCTGAGAGACGGGAGAGTGAGTAGGTGACATCAGGAGCAGGAAGCCACAGGGACAATTTGTCCAGGCGGTCTCGACCAATTCTGCTGTCAGAGACCATGTGACAGAACCAGGGCTGAGCGCTTATAAGTTAATTGAAAGTGTTTGTCAAGGCCAAGGAGTAAGACCATGTGCCTTGCTTGGGACTGTTATACTGAAGAAAACATGTCTCCATCCTGCAGTAGGAAGGGGAGTCTCAGATCCCCCGAGAGAGGGAGTCAATGAGTGGATACAGAAGTAGCTGTCCCTGGAGTCTGAGGGGCTGAACTTCACGATGACCATGTTTCACAGTCACACCCATACCAGATCAGGCACGCTGGCTCTCAGCCTGAGGAAATGCTCGGCTCATGCTACTGGACTTGCTCTGCATCTGTCCAAGTGAATTCTAGCTCTGAGAGCAACTTTGTGTTCAGCGGCTGAAACCTACGGCCAGTATTTAAGTCCAGTTGGCAATTAGCTCTCTGCATGCTGAGTGAAGGCCAGCAAATCTGCAAAGTTTTGAAAATATTGACATCAACAAAATCAGGATACGGGCTGGAGAGATAGTACAGGGGTTAACTGCTGGCCTTGCATGTAGCTGACATGGGTTCCAGCCAAATATGGTTCCCAAAACCCTACCAGGAGTGATTCCTGAATACCCATGTGTGATTGAAAGCGTCTATCTCCCAATTCAGGAAACAAAATGAAACTGAGACCCTCTCTGGGTTTGTTTTTTATTTTTTTAATTTTGGGGTCATACCTGGCGATGCACAGGGGTTACTCCTGGCTGTGCACTCAGGAATTACTCCTGGCAGTGCTCGGGGACCAAATGGGATGCTGGGAATAGAACCCAGGCTGACCGTGTGCAAGGCAAACACCCTGCCCACTGTACTATTGCTCCAGATCCCCTTTCTGGGTTCTTGACAATCAGCAGAGATTACCAGATTTTCTGGGGATGCTCAGGAAGCCTGAGTAGGTTGGAGCAAGAGCAGGACCACTCCCCAACACTTGTGGATCCAATGCCTAGACCTTACACCTCAGGCACTGCATGCACCGAAGCTGCCGGTGTGATGCTGCGATTTGCCATAGAAGTGTTGCTTTGCCCTCTTTCCCGAGGACAGGCTCCTAAAACCTTTGAGATGTCTGAGGCAATGAGAGCTGGCAATGTGACTGTTGTTACTACTAGACTCCTAGAAATACCTAGAGAACTGACCACACGACCAGGGGGCCTAGAACTATCTCTCCCCCCCTCCCCCGACCTCTGGATGAATGATCGTTGACCAAAGTTTCAACTGTTTATATAATCAAACCTCCAGAGAGGTGCCCCATAGAGGGTGTCACATGGAGGCAGAGGGCAGGGGGAGCTCAGAGGGGCACGGAGTTCCTGGCCCCTTCCCTACTCATGCCCTTGCAAGCTTCTCCATCCGCCTGGACCTGAGCTGAAGTTTTTTTCTATCTGTTTGGGTCACACTCAGCGATGCTCAGGGCTTACTCTTGACTCACACACTCAGAAGTTACTCCTGGAGATGCTGGGAATCGAACCCAGGTTGACCGTGTGTACGGCAAACACCTTATCCGCTGTGCTATCACTCCATCCCCATTTCTGAAGTCTTTTGCAGCAAGATGATACGTGGAGTTCCGTGAACCAGCAAATTCAGCAAATTTGCTCTAGCAGATTCATCCAACCAGAAGAAAGGGGCTCTGGGGTGACTCTCCAAGGGACAACCCAGAGGTCAGGACCTCAGGATGCCCAGCCTCAGGCTGGGTGGTCTGCTCCTCCCCCGGGGAGGAAATGGAGCTGAACTGCTGGGATGTGGGGAGCACCCGTGCCTCAGGACCGCGTGGGAGAACTCTTCCAACCAGCTGGGGAGTGACACCCTGCCTTGCTTTCCCTGTCAGCCTCTAATGAATAAGCCACCTAAGGATTCTTCTTCAAATATTTGGAAAGCCACTTAAATTTACAATGCTTATTTATTGGCTTGTAAGTAACCCACCTAGCCCTCTAATGGGCTGCAAATCCTCCAGTCCTGCCTCAGCTGCTGGGCTCCAGCAGTGTCTGTGCGACACTCTGGGGACTTGGTACAAGAGGAAAACAATAAAAAGCAGTAAAACCCACAGTCATCACCCCCTCTTGGCGACAACCCAGGCCGGCTGTCGTGCTAACAACTCCGAAAGTGATCCAGTAAATAACTGTGGAAGTTTTTAACACAATCTTTGCCTTGGGTTCATTTGGTTGTTTCAAGGACAAGTCCATCTGGTCCTGTCGCTGGCCTTGAATCAGAGATCCAATCACTTAGCCCAGCGCCAGGGGCCCTGACACTGAGGTTTCCTTCATTCCATTCCCCCACAAACATGCATGTGGCAGCCACATCCTTTCCCTGCTCCTCCCTTTAACCTCCTCATCTCCTTCCTCCCGCTTAGGGCTTTGGCGGCTATTCTGGCCCCGGTATCTTGAGCAGCAGCAGCAGCAACAGCTACAGATGCAAATTCATGACAGAAAATTGCACCCCGTGTCACCCCAGCTAGATCTCTGCTCAGGACAACCGTTGTTAGTGCCTGATGTTTTCCTGAGTCTGGATGGTATGGGGGGACCAGAGCCTCTAATGGGATGTCACCTGAGTGACAGCTCATGAAAATAATAGTTTATGTTGCTTTCATTTCCATTTAATCTTCGTGCATAAGGTCTTCCAGCACCATACTCTCCAGTTCCCTCAGTCACTGACCCAATGCCCACTCCCATCTTCTCCTGGCCTGGCCCACTCTGTTTCTGCAGGGATCATCTTCAATCGTGATTTGAGACTGCATTCAACCTTGAAAAATCATGCGCCATCCTCCTCTCCTTTCTAGTTCTCTACTTTATGGCTACTTTTCTTTAGGAAGTGCCCAATCATATATGAATGATCAGGAGATACACAAAAAGGGAAAACTTCTAACCGCTCTGCCCTACAGGTGACTGCACATACACACACACACATACACACACACACACACACACACACACATACATGCATCTGCTGGAGGGATCCTGCATGAAAATAAACTTCCGTTATGTGCCAGTCTGGAAAGGCTCCAAACTATTCCATTAGGAGGCCGTGTAGTGGAGCTCTCAGGCACAGCAAACCCAAAGAAGACATGCAGTTCCTGTTCGTACTGCAGCCTACGAAAGAACTGCCATCATCTGGAGCTTCAGTTCACCCCAGTTCTTGAATTCTTCTCAAGACAATCTCAGCTAAGCAAGCTCCCTGTGCAGTGGTGGCCACTTCCCGAAGGCCCTGCGACCTCCCCCAGAGGGCGGGCCCCACCCTGTCACACATATCCAAGTTCCAAGCACAGGAAATTAGCAGACCTGTGTATGATGGACACAACCCGGCAGAAGGTGTGCACGGTAGCCACTGCCCAGAGGCGGTGTCATCTGACAGAGTCTATTAAGTCATGGTGAAGATGTTTGTGCTAAAAATAGCTGGAAATGAAAAAATGATAAAGGACCCGAGCACTGATGCTCAAGTAGGAGGTGAGGAGCACCCATTGCTGTCCCGTCCCATGATGTATGAATGAAGGAGTTGGCCTGGAAGGAGAGGAAACTGCTGGGGCCTAGGGTCCAGGGAAGGGAGAGGGGAGGCTGAGGCTGATGCTGGTGGGGCATACAAACTCGGGACACTTAGAATGAATGCAGTGTGCTGAGACAGTGACATTGTGCTAGAGTTGGGCAGTGAGCTCAACTCACTGATGCATCAGAAAGACACGGCACCTTCCATTGACACCATGAAAAGTAATGAATTGATTAAATAGTTATGTACCTATTAAGAATCTTTGTTCATTTTCTTAAGCTCCAGAAATTCCCAGGAAGATTCCTCAAGCAGTTAGTTCCCAGTTTAGTGCCCCAACATTCAGAGACAGGGTCAAGATTTAGATGCAGAGCTGGACCAAGGGGCCAGGCAAGTGTTTAGTCAATACCCCTTGTGTACTTCCACGAGGCCTGGAATTAGCAGAGGAGCAACCGCCATTCCGGGCTTGCCACACACTGCCAGTGAGCCCGACCTGCATAATCAATTTCTTTCTCCTCTGCTGACCTTTCTTTGTGGCAGGGCTGAGATAATAAATATTAATCTTATCACTTGGTTTCCTGACTTATAGAGTGAGGATAATGACGCCAACCTCCCCAAGTTGCTGAGAGGGGAGAAATGTAGCAAAGTACACAAAGCGTTTATAGAACCTGTGACCCCTCAACCCCCAATCATCATCATCAAAGAGAACGCCCAGTAAACAAAGAGCATCCATCAGCACGACCAAAACTCATCCCTAAAATGTTCCCCTTCATGAGGATCTTACTTCCTTATTTCACTGAAGAAAATGTGCAGCCAAACATACATACACACACACACACACACACACACACACACACACACACACGTGGTTCCATGAAAACAGTTAGGAGGACATGGAAACCCAGGATGTCACTCACAGTTCCAGCTCTTGCAAAACAGAAAACGAAAAAAATAAATAAAAAATAAACACGAACTTGCTCTTCAAATGATTATACTTGAACAGTCCCTGGAAAAGTGCAAGTAAAGTGGAATACAATAAAATTTTTTATTTTCCAGTGTTCTCCAAGGGCAAGGGTGGCATATGCCAGGATGGTTAATAATATGGAGGCTGGCTGCAGAATCCAGGTCACCATCAGACGAGAACCATATGCCACAGAGAGGTCGGGGCTTGGTGTCTGAATAGCAGAGCTGGGATCCCCGGCCGACCAGGACTGCTGTGTGCCCCTGCTGGCCTCTCTGCTCCCTTTATGGTAAGGTGCTCGCCAACATGGTCCAGCCCACACAGAACTGATGTGTGCAGAGAGCATCAGCAAAGTGTCTGTGAGTTGGCAGTACTAAAGTTTAGACCACCATTGACGACGTAGAAGATGGTGGTTCCAAGGATGAGTGGGGGTCCCATGGATCCCCAAACCAAGCCTGCCAATGGAACTGGCCATTCGTCTACCCCCATTCCTGTGCTGTATCCTCACTGTGTTTCTGTCTGTAGAGGGAACCTCTGAGAAGTTACCTCAGGCTAAATGAGGTTCTATGAGGGGAGTCTGATGCTCGCTGAGGAGAGTCCACAAGGGATAGACACGGCAAGCACTTGGCAACTACACTAGAGTGAGGAAGCCAGAAATAACGATGTGAAGGAACCTTCTACAGAAGGTTCATGGAAGCACTGTGAGAAATGAGTGCCTTGGGGGCTGGAGTGATAGCACAGCAGGCAGGACGTTTGCCTTGCAGGCGGCCAACCCAGGTTTGATTCCCAGCATCCCATATGGTTCCCTGAGCACTGCCGGAGGTAATTCTTGAGTACTCAGCCAAGAGTAACCCCTGAGCAGAGTAACCCCTGAGCATCGCTGGGTATGACTCAAAAAGGAAAAAGTCAAAAAAAAAAAAAAACCACGAAGAAATGAGTGTGCATTGGCTGAGCAACCAAACGGGAGTCACCGGCTTCATCTCTCTGGACTGAGTTGCTTCCAAGCAGGTGCAGAGGGAGCAGATGGCGCATGGAGCCCCCGCGAGCTGCCAGGCCTCCCACTCCATGATGTAGGAGTGAGTGGCACCATCTGTTCCATCTCCCCAGCAGCGCCAACGCACCCCTCACCTCAGCAGGAAATCTTGCCACATTCCCAAGTAGACACAAGCACTGTCTGATCAGCTCCTAGCTCCCGGCACAAAACGCCGTTCAGGAGCGCAATGTTCAACAGGCCCTTGGTTTGGGGGCCAGCAAAGGTTCCGGGGGCGACTAGCCCTGCCTGTCACAGTAGGTAGGACTTAGCAGTCCAGTCTCTGGGGGAAGAGTGGACAGAGGGTGCTTCGCAAGGCCAGGAGCCTCCACTGAGTGAAGACCTAAGCCTGCCTGCGTGAGCCCCTGAGGTTGGCCTGCGCCCCGTCTCCATGGGATGAGGGCTCCCAGGGGCCTGTGATTCTCCCAGTTTGTCCCAGCCTGTCCATGCCAGCTCTGTGGCATCCTTCTAGAGACCTGACCTGCTGGATTCACGATTTCCTGAACTCACCTGGAAGTTGGGGTTGGGGTTGGGGTATGGCAACCAGGCAGAGCGTGAGTTTTCCTGGTACTTGAAGGGTCCATTGAAGGCCTGAGAGATGGCGCTCAGGTTGAAGACACATACTGCTGAGGCGGCAATGCTGTTCCTGAGGAGGGAAAGAAGAGGCAGAGGGTCAGAGAGCACCACCGTGACCCCCAACTTCTACAAACTTGGGCTTTGTAGAACCTTCTAGAAGATCACAGACAGACACAGATTCCAGCTTGCAAATGCCTCAGGGACCGGGACAGAGGGGAGGGAGGAAAGGAGGGAGAGAGAGAGAAACGGAGAGATAGGAAGACAGACAGACATTCTCTATGAAGAGAATTTCTCTGTGAACCTCCCAAGGGACTGTGTTCCCTGAGGCTCGTGTGGAGAAGAAATACTTAAGTGGAGAAACATGGCTATTCGGCAGTTACAACTTGTAATCCAGAGGGGGAAGATTAACTCACTCAGCCGGAACAGGGTGACAGAGATTCTAGAGCTGCATGTCACACTTCTAAACTCAGCAGGAAAAACTTGGCCCTCTCACCTGTCCCTCTGGCTACATTAACGGTAGCCAAATGCCCTTTTTCATGATCCCCAGATAGTTGTGATCTTTCATAATTAAAAAAAAAACTACTGTAAATATGCTGCAAAAGTGCTTGTTAGAGAAGCCTTCTCGCTCTCTCTCTCTCTCTCTCTCTCTCTCTCACACACACACACACACACACACACGAGTTGAAAACATACTTTTTTTTTAAATTTTATTTATTTATTTTTTTTAATGAAAATGAATTTCCATTTTCTTTTATTTCCTATAATTTCTTTTTTTCTTTTTTTTTTATCATTTATTTTTTATTAGTGAAACACCATGAAGTATACTTATAGACTCACAAATTTTTGTGCTTGGGTTTCAGTTATACAATGATCAAGTACCCATCCCTCCACCAGTGCCCATCCTCCCCCACCACGGGTCCTATCATCCCTCCGACCCCCCATCCTCCCCCCCCCCCCCCCGTCCCACCCTGCCGCTGTGGCAGGGCATTCCTCCCTGTTCTCTCTCTCTTCTTTTGGGTACTGTGTTTTGCCAGAGAGGCATTAAGTGGCAGTCATGTTTGGTCTATAGACCACTTTTAGCATGTCTCTCCCACCCTGGGAGGGTCTTCACAACACCCTTTATTTGGTGCTCTCTTCTCTATCTGAGCTTCCTTCTCACCTAGCACATGTGGCTGGCCTTCAAGTAATGGAGCAAAATTCCTGGTACTAATCTGAGCCCTTCCTGGGTGTTAGTCTCCCGTTTTGTTGCTTTATGTTCCCCAGATGAATGCAATCTTTCTGTGTCTATCCCGCTCTTTCTGACTCATGAAAACATACTTTTAATCTGAAGGGTCAGAGGATAAGAGAGATTTGGCAGAACCCTGATTCATAAAGAAAATCATGAATTCTAAAGACAGAATTCTGCACGTACTGCCATATAAGTACCGCATGCTAACCGATAGACCAAACATGATTGCCACTCAATGCCTCTCTTGCAAACCACAGAACCCAAAAGGAGAGAGAGAGAGAACAAAAGGGAATGCCCAGCCACAGAGGCAGAGTGGGATGGAGGGGATGGGGGGTGGGAGGGATGCTGGGACCTGTGATGGTGGATGACGGGCGTTGGTGGAGGGATGGGTACTTGATCATTGTATAACTGAAACCCAAGCACCAAAATTTGTAAGTCTATAACTGTACCTCGTGGTGTTTCACTAATTAAAAAAAAATACAGAATTCAAGTGTCTTAGAGAGTCTTTTGTTTGTTTTGGCTTTGGTTTGGGTGCCACACCCCGTGATGCTCAGATCTTACTCCTGGTGGGACTAGGGGACCATCTCGGGTGCCAGGGATCTAACCCGGGTTGACTGCATGCAACGCAAGCATCCTACCTGCTATACTTCTGCTTAGGCCCCGTGCCTTGGAGTTTTCTTATCAAGATTCTTAGAAACTTGGGCCCTTTTCACCAGGATAAAAACAGCACACTCTTTACTAACCACACATTTTGCCTTTAGAGCTCAGAGCTGGTGTTTCATGGTAATGCTCCTAGCCAATAACCAAGCTCACTGATCAATGTTTTCTTCAAAGAAAAAGTCACAGAAATTTCTAGACGAATACAGCTCCCTCATACTTGGTTTATGGATGGGACTAATATTGAATAGATATTGGGTGCCAGGCTAAAGGCTTTCCAAATTCCAACTCGCCAGATCTGTAGAAGGTGAGGGGAAACTCACTGAACAGGAAAATGCGGCACAGAGAGGTAACGTCACTGGCCAGTCACTCCACAGGGAAGCTTGTTTCATTCCTAGGCACTCTGGCTGCAAAAGGCAAGATTCTGATTTTTCTGTGAAAGCGTGGTGTGAAGACAAATAAAGGTGTGGGGAGAAGTGAAGGTGTGAGGAGAAGTGAAAGTGTGAGGAGATGTGAAGGTGTGGAGAGAAGTGAAAGTGTGGAGAGAGGAGAAGGTGTGGAGAGAAGCGAAAGCATGAGGAGTGAAGGTGTGGAGGAAAGTGAAAGGGTGAGAAGTGAAGGTGTGGGGAGATGTGATGGTGTGAGAAGTGAAAGGGTAGAGGGAAGTAAAGGTGTGGAGAGAAGTGAAAGTGTGAGAAGTGAAGGTGTAGAGGGAAGTGAAGTTGTGGAGGGAAGTGAAGGTGTGACAACGTGAAAGTGTGAGAAGCAAAAGTGTGAGAAGAAGGGAAGGTGTGAAGAGAAGTGAAAGGGTGAGAAGTGAAGGTGTAGGAGAAGTGAAGGTGTGAGCCCTTGGCAAAGCACCTGGGACACATCACCTTATTTGCACAGAGAATCACTGTGGGTTCAAAAGTAGCTGTGTTTGAAAAATGTATTTTCAAGAGCTGGTGAGAAGAATCTGGAGAGAAAGCGAGAGAGAGAGAGTAACTGCATCTCATCCAGTGTAGACGTACATGCTGGGTGTCTTCCAATGCATTTATTACATTAAACAAAAGGTCGGCTCTAGCCCGAAACTAATTTTTTCGAGTATCTAATTTGACCAGTCATCATCTTGGAACTGCTCAAACACGGTCCTGCTGTAGCTTTGAAAAGTGGTACTATCACCGGGAGAATGAAGAGCTAAAGTAAGCCAAGCTCCCATTGTGTACAAATTGATGTCAGCTGAGCAACTGAACATTCATCTTGTGCAGCCTACACTATTTCTTAAGCAACATTCTGGAAAGCAAATCAACTTCAGAAGCTATAAATTGATTCTTTAAAAGGAAAGTATCAAGGAGGGAAAATAACCTCTGGGGTTGGAAACCAAATATACAACAATAAAGATGGCCAGGGTGGTGGGGGCAGGTGGGGAGCTATCCATTTTAGCCTGATTTTTCATGTCAAGAACAAGACTCCTTCTGGGGTAGACATTATTATGAAGCAAATTGCACACTTAAGTGGTAAAAAGAGCAGAAAGGAAAGATTTACAGGAAAAGAAGATGCAGATAAAGTGGCTCGCAGATATACCATTCAGGAGCATCTCTGAGGCACGGCAAGCACCAAGTGAGGCCAAGAGACCAGATGTTGAGGTTTTCCCAGTGACAGGGTTGTCCTCGAAACTAAAACCAGGACCAGGGGCTGGAGTGAAAGTACCGCAGTAAGATGCTTGCCTTACAGGTGGCTGACTCAAGTGTGATCCCCAGCATTGCACATGGTCTCCCAAGCTCCATCAGAGTTCTGAGTGTAGAGTCAAGAATAACACCTGAGAATTGCCAGGTATGGCTCCCAAACCAAAAACTAAATAAATATCCCCAGACAAACCAGAAGACACAGTCAGCCTACCCCACAGAGTGATGCCTCCAACCCTTCTAGGCCTGAGTCATGCACCTAAAAACACTAAAAGATAATAGCTTTTGCCTAAAGGATTAGGTGTCCCCCATTAGAGATTTACAGAACAATTCCTCTGAAATCCACCTTACGCAGGCAGCTTGGCTCCACAACTGCTGAGACGTGGAGAGCTGAGGCCTCAGTCTCCATGGGATGAGGAGTCTGTGGGCGGGTGTGGTTGTGTTGAATCTTAACAGAGCACATCACCCAGGGGTGTAAGTGTGAGGCCTGGAGATATCCATCAGCATGAACAGGAGATCAGGAAACTGCATTACCCAGCCTACGAGTGTCATTTCTGAAGCTACGAATCGCATCCTTATCACACTCCCACCAAAAAAAAACAACAATTTATTTTTGTTTTTACAGATTGTTTTCAAAATCTGGACTCCACACCAGGCTGTTTCCACTCAGGGTGCTCCAGAGGGGTCAGTCAAGAGTCCTCCCTGCCCCAGGGACCCAGCCCCAGAAGCCGACTCCCACTACCCAACAGCCGCCATGCTCCAGGTCACTTTCTGGACTGCAGGATCACGACATTTCCTATCCATTGTTCATAATTACCACACCATATTTGATGGAGTTCAGACAGTAGGCAACAGATCATAGAGAGAAATATGTATGTATATATATATATATACATATATATATATATATGAGTGCCTCTTCGGTGCTGGTGGTGTGCTTGAGGTGTAAGAGGAGAGAGGGGAGAACTCAGTACACAGTGCTCAGTAACAGGAAGTGACCAGCATAATCCCGCCCCTTCACCTCCCCCAGAGGTGCCATTCAAGTTCACAAGTTCTCAGAGTGCCCGGCAAGCTACTGGGAGTCGAGAGTATCCTGCCCACAAGGGCAGAGCCTGGCAAGCTCCCTGTGGCATATTCGATATGCCAAAACCAGTAATTATAACAGGTCTCATTTCCCTGACCCTGTAAGAGCCTCCAATCATTGGGAAAGAGTAAGGAGAGGCTGCTAATATCTCAGGGCTGGGACGAATAGAGATGTTACTGGCGCCCACTTGAGTAAACTGATGAACACCGGGATGACACTGATACAGCGCTACAGTTTTCAAAACCCCATCATCTTGAATGATGGCTTAACATGCAGTTTGGGGCGTGAGAAGGTGCGCTCAGCTACGCGTGGGGAGGTGAGACGAGAATCAGGTGATTCCAAAGGTAAGACTTCTTAGAATACTCAGTATTCGCTAGGCACAAACACATGACTCTATATATAGAGGAAAATGGGACACGGAAAATATAAACCAGCATTTCAGAAAGTGCCCAGAAAATGATGATGAATCGGGAAGAAAGAAACGTTCAGTCCAAGCATCCCTTATGGCTACTAGAAGGAGAGATCACAAGTTTGGGGGATTAGCCACTTTCTCCCCACAACCGATTCAGAAACCACCCCTCATCTTTGAGTTACACTGAGTTCACTCTCAAAGGCTCTTTGGTCTGTTAGCCCAGGAACATGAGAGCCATTTCCTTTCGGGTCCCTTGGCAACCTCTGGGGTGAGAGAGGAAGAGGCTGGTAGACAAGGAAGGTGGGGACGCGGAGGGCAGCCACGGTTTCCAGGTACGTACACGTTGGTAGTGAAGATGCCGTAGATGAGGTCGAGCTCGGGCAGGAAGAAGGTGCCCTGCAGCTCGTGGTAGTAGAAGGGCAGCTCCCCCGGGCGGGAGCAGTTCAGCCTGGCCTTCATGAAGGTAGTCCACGTGTCCTCCAGCAGGAAGCGCCCGCCGATGTCGTTCTTGCAGACCCGGGCGGCTCTGGAGAACACGGTCTTCCCACAGTCGTGCTCCACGGCGTTTTCTCGGAAGAAGAAGTAAGTGAAATTCCCAATATCATACGACGACACGAAGTTTGGCTCTGGAAACAGAAGGCACAGAGGAAAAGTCTTAGCAGTCATGAGGGACTGCATCTGTCAGCTGGCAGAGTGCCTCTTCAGCGGTGGTGGTGTGCTTGGGGTGTAGGAGGAGAGGGGGGAGAACTCGGTAAACAGTGCTCAGGCACAGGAAGTGACCAGCATAATCCCGCCCCTTCGCCTGCCCCAGAGGTGCCATTCAAGTTCACATGTGACTTTGAAGGAGCAGCAAAAAGATCATGGACACACGTAGAGTGTGCTCTGTATGCTCTGTCCACTCTTACATAGCGTTCTGAAAGAACGACAGAAAGTAAGAAGCAAAATACGAAATGAGATTCAGGGTCCAGACTAGGAATAAACCTTTATTTGCTTATTTCAGGGTTCCTGGGGAGTCTCCTTAGACCTGAGGAAGGGTTGTCAGATTGAATTAATGACTTTCAGCTCCTTTGATATCATACTTCACTTAAAATTGAGATTAGAAATGACAAAATTAAGCCAGAGAGATAATATAGTGGGTAAGGCACTTGCCTTGCAAGACCATCTCAAGTCCAATCTCTGGCACACCAAAGGGTCCCCAGAGCCCCACAGAAATGATCCCTGAGTAAGAGCTAGGAGTAAGCCCTGAGCACCTTTGGGTGTGTCTCCCCAAAAGACACCAATGTAGCATTTTTTCCTTAAATTTTTAAATAATTTAGAGATTAGGACCTACTCATTTTAATTTTATAGCAATCACAGAAAGTTGTTATCATTTCCTGTTTGAGCCCATGAATGAGATGCTATCCTGTCAGTATTTGCTAAATTCTAACATTTACAATTAAAAATGAAGGTCTGATCTGAGTCTGTGCTTCTCTAATTCTAGAAATTTCCATTCAATCAGCAAGTGTTAACTTTTATGGAGCAATTAGAATACTATGGCAATAACCTTTGGTGTTCAAAAGTTGACTGAAAGAGTCACACAGCTGCTTTACTCACAAGGAACATTTCACAGACCGTTAGGACAATTCAATAGGCTTGATCTCAGAAAGATTCAGGCAGATTGTGCCAGAATCGGTATTAATGGCTGACCAGCTACCAAGTTTTTCTGTAAAGCATTAATGTTAATAGGGATATGCACCCAGGCTCAAAATGTGGACACAGAAATGCTCAGAAATGTGGACACAGATGCTCAGAAATGTGGACACAGAGGCTGACAGAAGCTGTCATTCACTACTATGATGTCCAGAAAGACTGGTAACTAATTTCCAGTCAATTTATCTCTATAAATGTTGTCATAAAATGTTTCCACTGAATTCAATTTTACATGTAAAAGGTGTAATAAATGTTACAAATTGTATCTGTAAGTTGTTTTTCTCCTCAATCCATTATATTATACTGAAGTCATTTAGGTATCTGAAGAAAGAGAGACTTCAATAACAACTGAGTTTAATTTATAAACTGTCACGCATACTGCTATATCATCATTGCTTTAACTTGATAGGAATATTAAAAAAAACAAGGATTGCATTAAAATGTATGAAATGTAAGTCCTGTGTATATGTGTGCGCATATATACATATATTTATATTTACAGAATGTTTTAATATCCTAGAGAGAAGTTCATAAAAGCAGCAGGTTATAAATCTCTGACCTCTGCTTTGGAAAAATAAGGCTTTCTGAGCTTGCATTCCTTATGAGTCTCCAAAAGAATAAAAACAAAAACTGGGAATAATCACAAAACTGTATTTGGTTTCTAAAAATTCACTTGCATTTTATTAAATATTTATTTATTTTTGCTTTTTTTTGGGGGGGGGTCCACCTGGTGATGCTCAGGAGTTACTCCTGGCTCTGCACTGAGGAATTACTCCTGGCAGTGCTCAGAGGACCATATGGGAAGCCAGGGATCAAAACTGGCTCAGCTGCATGCAAGGCAAACATCCTCCTCGCTGTACTATCGCTCCAGCTCCTCACTTGCACTTTCAATCTAAAATCGAAGCAACATCATTTCTGAACAGGTCCTACATCGAGGTTCATGAACCCAGACTAGAGTTTGCTCATCGCATGGAAGATATCAAAGACACTGATTGACCTCGGGTGCAATGCAGAAAAGAAACACCGAAGGCGCAAGGGAAGAACAATTCTTACTCTGAGGCAAAGCTCACCGGAGCGATCAAACACTCCAAGATGAACAACTTCTGCCATGAACCTGGGGTAAAATGTGATGAGATCCACACAATGAAGATTTCTGGGAGATCTGGAGAAGGACCAAGAAGGGGCTGTGAGGGTCCAGAGACACCATGGCTCTCTCAGCTCAAGCTGCAAACTTCAGGTGAGGGGAAAAACTCTGCATTCAGAACATTACATGCATCTACTCAGGCAAGTCCCGAAAGTTCCCAAGGTGAAATCCTTGTCAACTTCCTGACTTGGAGAGGCAGAATCTAGCACACAAAGATTGAGTGACTTGCCCCATCACACACTGGAGGCCGGGGGCCCAGACGAAAGGGAGAGAAGTGAGGTGTGAGTCGAACATCCTGAATCCCAGGTCAGACCTGCAGCTCTGTTGGCTATCGACTACATTGAAAGATAAAAATGTCATCAACGGAAGACTCAAAAGTTTACGGTGAGTCAAGAGTTGGGTTTCTGGTCTCGGACAGAAAAGCCAAAATGGTGACGAGGTTTACTCAGAAATGAGGTCAGGGAAAGTTCAGACCCACTGAGACGGAGAGGGATGCCCAAAGGACACTTTGGCCTACCATTCTCACAGAGAACATCAGCCAGGAGAGCAAGATTCGGACTCTGAGGCTAAGTGAGATCTTGTTGGGAAGCGTCTGCCCCGGTTGCAGAGACACCATTTCAGATGGCTTCCTCACAGCCAGGGTACCAGTGTGGGCTGCTGAGTGTGTCTGGACCTGCTCTAAGGCCCAAACCCCGAAATGGTCTCATTCAGATTTCTCAGGAAATTCTGAGAAATGGGAACAGACCGGCACACAGATTCCACAGAGAATTCCAGTCTCTCTAAACCACCCTGAATCCCACTTTTTGACCCCTGAACATAACCAGGTGGACCCAAAAAAGCAAAAATAAATAAACAAAGGATAAAATGCAAGTGAATTTTAGGTAGAAATGCCCAGGCACAGTTTCTTTTTTATTCCTGCTGCAAAATGAGTGCTCCCTACCGAGTATCTGCTGCTCTAATTCACCCCACATTACAGGCCCAGGCACTCGTGTGTGGGGGCCGAGCTCCATCTGTAAACACTGGTGCTCTTCATGATCTTCAGGTGGTGACGGGTCCCTGGGAGGAGTTCTGCTGGAAAACTGGGAAGCCCTAGTTCTTGGAAAGTGGCGCCTTTAGAAACTCAGCCCAAAGCCCATTCCTTTTCCGAAGTCAGTGGGGAAAATAAACGCAGGAATAACTGCCAAACAGCCAGTCAAAAAAATCTCTTGCCTTTGCAGATAAATCTAAGGGCAGGGGCTGTCTGAGACTCAGCAGACAGGATAATCAGATGCACACTGTTATTTAAGTTCTGTCTCTGGTTGGAACGCAATTCACCACAGATTGTATAGCTAGCACTTCCGCACAAACTAAGTCATAATGAGGCATCAGGGTCTTCCCGCCAATGAGAGTGAGGGGATGAAGGAGACATGAGAGAAAGAATGCCACTGTTCACTCGCTTCTCCTAAGAGCTAGAAGGAAAAGGTGTGTTGCTAATGCCAAATACAAAATGGTGAGTTCTGAGGGCTGGAGTAACAGCACAGAGGGTAGGGTGGTTGCCTTGCACGTGGCCAACCTGGATTTGATCCCCGGCATCCCAAATGGTTCCCCAAAGCACCGCCAGGATTAATTCCAGAGTGCAGAGTCAGGAAAAAGCCCTGAGCATAGCTGGGTGTGGCCAAAAAAATAAATAAATAAAAGAAGAAGGTGGGTTTGTCTCAGCTCAAATACAAAAACAAGGAAAAAAACAAACTGGGAAGCTGGTTTTTTTTTTATGCATGTAAAAGATACTGATGATATTGATTGAATTTTAGGCGTGTTATGAAAAGGACTGCTTCACTGTATGTTTATAACTTAGATTTTTACTTATATAACTGTGCTCATAAAGATGGGATAACTTCTCTTCTCCATGAGAAGAGAATCCCCACGAGAATCAACACGAGAAGGAAAGAGAATCAGAAGAGAATCAACACGAGAAGGAAAAAACGCATAAAAGAAAAACTCAAATGAGTTTGAGATTATGACCATGCAAAATCAAATGTGGAGTATCCATGCGAGTCTCCATCCTTGACTGCCCCCACTCAGGGGTCCCTAAGGTGCACAGGCACAGATGAACCACTGGCCATCACACAAATGACCGATACTCACGGGAGAGAGACACTTCTCAGTAGGAACGAAATGAACATTGAAGACAGAAAGTCCAACCTTCCAACCCTACAAAGACTTGTGAGAATAAAGATCTATCACAAATTTGTTTGTGATCCAAGGCCAGTTTGGGACCTTGTGCTAAAGTTGGGCCAGTGGGGTAGGAACCTGTGAACCACGGCTCTGCCAACAGCACCAAGAAACCCTGAGCTGGGCCACTTGCTCCTGGAATTCTCCATCCTGACAACCAGGGAAGACCTACAGTGCCACAAGGGTTAAAGACGTTGACACAGGGTGGAATCCAGTTCAATCACAGTGATAATGACTATCCCATGATCTGATTTCCCTTCGCATAACATACTTAGTAAAAGCTCCTATAATCATGACTCGTCATCAAATTTTCATGGGTTAAGCTTAGCAGAAATCAGAATGGAAGGAATCTTTATACAACCACAGTTCTAAAAACAGCAAGCTCTTTTAAAGAAAGAAAGCGAAGTGAAGAGAAACATTCTTGAATTAGCCAGAGGTTTCCATCCCTCTAAAGCGATGGTGCTGGTCACTACCCAAACCATTTCCATACACAGTCCTAAAATTCGCACCTTCTCATCACACATCTGGTTTTCCTTATAACAGCTACACGAAAATACTCTGCAGGGGTTCCAACCTAAATTT